GATATTGTCCAGGCTCAGAGTATAGAAACGCAGATTTTTAAGGCAGTTGTGAAGGTTACCATATGGTGGGCACGTCCGCTCACTAGTTCCATTATTATTTTAGGTAGAAAATACTAAAACATTAAATTAGAAAAAAAATTTACCCTAACCCCCCGAAATTTGGGGTATTGATCATATTTAGTAGTTAGATCTTCTACGCAGAAAGATCCCAAAATAACAAATGACAGCTGACGTGCTCAAATGCTTCAAAATATTCTAAAACTGGCAAACTTGGGGCTACATTGAAAATGTTTGCTGGGGAGATTTTCTGCTTCAAAGGTCTGTACCACATGCTGGACCCAATATGAATTGAGACGACTACACCATCCTGAATGTATTTGAGCCAAAACTATTCGGATGTGTCTGGGCAAATGACGTTCTTCAACTGAGGAGGCAGGCTCCGATTCAATTCACGCGTCGATAACTGCATCAGTGTGAATACTATTCAGACCTGCTCGATTAACTTCTTGACTCTACACGCTCTCTTTTATATGTTTGAACCTCTGTCTCTCTATATCATGCAAAACCTTTCTGTCGAACGTAACCCCAAGTAAGTTCTCATATATGTACTCAACCACACAATCCGTCGATATGGTCGTAAAATCCCCATACGTCATCTTGAGGGCGTGGAATTTCGGAAAGGTAGACCTTAAACAGCTTCGGAAATATCAACCTACTCTACAATAGTCCCTCTATCTCTTTACGCGATTTGGACTTCTTATTCCGGAACTCCACCTACAACTGACATCTGATACTGGCCACTGTCCACTGTCCACCTTCTGATACTGACCACTGTCCACTTCCAGATGTTTCAACATTACCATACAAATTTCGTAGGTACCCAACACTTAATATATGATTTAGCGCTACGTATGACAATTGCATCATCACCCATAGTACCTCCCTGTAGGGAAGATAAATATTACTCTTCTCTTTACCGTGTATGTCACTTTCAGAATGCTCAACTAACTTTCGATCAAATATGTCTGAGGTCTCTCTTGTGTTCCACAGCGACTTGACGGTTGCCCAAAGATAATTCACATCGGTTTCAAAGTTGCAACACTCCAGACGATCTAACCATTTATTTCTCTTAGGCTCCGGGACTATAATGCTTACTTCCAACAAGACTGCTATGATGTTCGGAATTTCCTTTATGCTACCTGCACTCCCGTATCAGTTCGTGGTGTTATTAATTTGCTCTCTGAAGACTTACCGTACGTAGTTAACAACAAATATATTGCAAAAGAAGTGCCAGACCCTTTTTATACCCTTCACCACACTGTGGTACAGGGTATTATGTCTTTGTGCATATGTTTGTAACAGGCAAAAATAATCGAGATAGACCCATGGTTCCTTTTGAGAATATGCATAGAATCACCTTCTGAGTCGATTTATGCATGTCCGTCCGTCTGTCCGTCGGTAGATGTTAAATTGTAAACAAAGTACAGGTCGCATTTATGATCCGAATTGGATGAAATTTGGCACAGCTCATTTGTTTGGCCCAAGGACGAACCCTATTGAAATTGGAAAAAAATCGGTTCAGATTTAGATATAGCTCCCATATATATTTTCGTCCGATTTAATGTAAACGGTCCCTATATATCTTTCGATTTGCACGAAAATTGGCACAGCGTAATGAACTAGGTCTAGAATGATGTGTGTAAAATTTCATAAAAATCGGTTCAGATTTAGATATAGCTCACATATATATCCTCGTCCGATTTAAGGTAAATTGTGTACCAAAGTCCCTATATATCTTTCAATTTGCACGAAATTTGGCACAGCGTAATGAATAAGGTCAAGAATGAGGTATGCCAAGTTTCATGAAAATCGGTTCAGATTTAGATATAGCTCCCATATATATTTTTGCCCGATTGTAGGTAATTGGTGCACCAAAGTCGCTGGAAATCTTTTCATTTGCACGAATTTTGGCATAGCGTACTGAATTAAGTCTAAAATGATGTGGCAGAGTTTAGTGAAAATCAGTTCAGATTTAGATATAACTCCCATATATTTTTTCTTCCGATTTTATGTAATTGGTGCACCAAAGTCCCTATATATCTTTCGATTTGCACGAATTTTGGTATAGGGTACGTTGGTCAGCTAAGTACTTCGCTTTGTTACAAGAGACATTTGGGTTTGAAAGGTTTTTTGTATAGAAGCAATAGCTTCTGGGGAGAATATCCCAACAAAAAACTAAGGGAACTTATGAGGATCAGTGGCGTGATCCGAAACTATAGTCTTCCCTGCCTTACCCCTCGGTAATCAATGCCATACATTCCACACTAATAGATAGTTGTTTTTTATAAAAACAAAATACAAATGGTATCCCAAATAAACCGCCAACACTACTGAAGTACTGAATTAAGTCTAAAATGATGTTGTTAAGCTGCGTGAAAAGATCCATAGCAAGGCCGAATGACACAACGTACTGAAGTAATATAAATTAGTCTCTGGCAATTTCCCTGAAATCGGTTCAGATATAGATATATAACAAAAACGCGCCGTCTGTTGGGATACATATGTAGAATATACCCAAAATGGTGAAGGGTATCATATAGTCGGCCCAGCCCGACTTTACTACTTTCCTTACTGGTTTACTCTTGGTGCTATCCTTTCTCAGAAAGATGTAATCATCTAAAATATTTCATTAAACTGGTTTGTTGCACCGCCTTGACCAATATGATTATATGCTGCATAAGCCCACAATGTATTTCACTTTTCTTCGAAGTCCGTTGCAATTGGGTCGGGATTTTAAGGCAGTGTTTAAAAAAAGCATATATACTTATCGACATCTTTTATCATCCATTGAATTGTGTACACATCCCAAATTCGTTAGCCTCTACATCTTAGAAAATATCAAGAACCTAATGGTATTTTTCCACACTTAACAGTTCAGTTGTTATTGAAAGAAAATAACACGATTGCGTGTTATGGAAAATTGCACACACACATACACCGAAAAAAGTTGTCAATTCATGCGACAATGTTGCAATTATCAAAGTTGTTGCAATTACAACCGAAGCAATAGCTGTTGCATTTTTTATACGCATCGCTACCTCTAATGGGGGACGATGTTGCAATCGCGCTGTATTCGAGTCAGTTAGTAAGTCACCATGGTTTTTTGTTGCCGCTGCTGTTGTTGTGTAATTGAATCTGTAAAAAATAGTTGCAAATTTCCCCTTATTAGGGAAATTAATACTCACTCTTACTTTCAATATAACATAACACTTCTTTTTTGTTTGTTAATAATAGTAATAATCATAATAATGGGGCAATAATGTAATGAGCGTTTGTAATATGGTCCAACATGAAAATTAATATTTGGTGTAATAGCACCATTCATTTTGGTATGATAGAAAAATCAATCAGCCCTGGATTCTGGGATCTTCTTAAGCTTAACCTCTTCCACATAGAATGATCCAAAGACCTGCAAAGAGAACATTGTAAGCAAGGTTTGTTCATAAGGCTAACAAGGAGGCGAATTCGAAGTCTTCATTGACTGTCAAATTTATTGATTAAATAATAAATATTCCAGTTGGTATTTCGCGATTCAAATGTTGACAGCAATTGATTTTAAGTATTGCTACAAAGCTCAGAGAATTTATTTTTACTTTAAAATAAAATCTTAAACAAGGTTAGAAGATCACTTTTCAAAACAGAATTTGACGGAAGTCATTGGAATAAACATGGCAAATACGAAAGGTTTTAGGATCCAAATTAGGACAGTATTTTAAAAGTTTTACTTTTCAAATCATCAGTTTTGATCACTTTTTGAAATCGATGAACTGTGCAAAGGGTCCGTTGTTCTTTTATGAAACGAAAAGGTTTTTGTCCTGTTCCAAATTTGCCCAAAATAAAAATTGCTCCCAGTCAAACTGGAATCTATAGCCTGAAATCATTTATTGGGACTAGACATAATAAATATTCATTCCAAATTCATCAGACACGGAGGATGCTCTGTATGAACGAAGACGGAGTAGGAAATCTCGTTTTTGTTGAAGGAAATATAAAAAATAATAAAATGTAGCTCATGGCATTTTTGTTTTGACTGTGCCTCACTGTATAACAATGTCAAACACTCGGTATGTTGATCACATCAACACTTACATGACATATTATATCTGGTATTTATATCGAAATAATTTTGAAAATACATATGCGAATTTTATAATAGCAATAAAGTGTCTGATATAAAGAAACAATGAAATGCTCAACTACCCACAATCGAGTAAGTGAAGAGACGAAGATTGTTAACGGTTACAAAACTAACAAACACCAAGTGCTGGGCGAGACTGATACAGAATGAAATAGTTTTGATATTAATGAAAATTTTAAACATTTTGGAACAAATTCTGGTGTTCTTACGATTATAAGAACTCGCATTTAAAAGTATGAATGAAATTATGAAAATATTTATTATTTTTATATATTTTTATACATTACACAACTATGTTGTCAGGGTATTATAGCTTTGTGTAGCCCCAAGTATTTGTAACGCCGCGAAATATTGGTCGTAGACCCACCTTTAAGTATACCGATCGTCATATCTCGACTAGATGAGTCGATCTAGACATGTGTGTGCGTCCGTCTGTCCATTATAATTTGTAAACACGATACACAGTTATAGACCCCTATTGTTTTTGGAAAAGATCGGTTAATATTTAGCGGATGAAATGGACCAAAAACTTTATTTGTGTCGGTTTTTCTGGTCGCTCCACAAGCCGCAATTATGGCCCAAACACCGCGAGGAGAAGGGGATCGGGCCATAGAATAAGCATGACTGTTTTAATAAGGATCGGTCGATATTTAGCGGGTCAAATGGACCCTGAGTTTTGTGTGAAAAATTACAAAATTTGTATTCTATAACGTATATATTTACCACTAAAGGACATAGACACGAGAAGTTGACAGTATATCCGGAAGGAGTGGTTGACCTTTAAATTGATACTAATTATATGGTTATATGGTTTTCCGTGTTAGCTGTGAAAGAATAAACATGCCGCTAGCCAAAGATTTGTTACACCCTTTGCCCGCTCAAGAGAAGCGTAAACACAAGTTGAAGCGCTTGGTGCAACACCCCAACTCCTACTTCATGGATGTTAAGTGCCCCGGCTGCTACAGAATCACAACTGTCTTCAGCCACGCTCAAGGCGTCGTTGTATGTGCGGGATGTGCTACTATCTTGTGCCAGCCAACCGGTGGTCGCGCTAAGCTCACAGAAGGTTGCTCTTTCAGAAGGAAGCCTCAATAAATGTGACGTTTTAGTTTCTTTGCTGCCTCCATTGAATTTTTTCAAATTATAATTTTTTAACATCCAGATCAGATAAAAAAATGTACTCAGATGTGGGAGTTACACTTAAATATTTACAGGTGCTTACGTACTGAGATATTATTTAGTAACCCATTACCACACTAGAGGGCGGAAATATAGCGCTGATCGCTTTGAAATGTTCAATGAGGATCCAGGTATGGTCAGAGATATCGGCTATAATTTTTGGTGATGATCAGATACAAATTTTGGGATAAAATGGACCGAAAACTTAATTTTTATGTTTTTTCGATCTATAGGCCACAATTATAAACCGAACATAACAACACAATCCACAGTGAAGGGAATCTGGACAATTAATTAGAAGGGCTGTACTCAATATTGGGAATATTCGGAAAATATGTCAGTGTAAGGAAGAGGTGCTGTCGGTCTTTAATCGGACAAGAGGGTGCTACTATCACGAAATATTGCCCACGCTCAGAATAAACGTCGGCAGAAAGTTAGAGTTCCGTGGTAGTTGTGTAGGGTATCGTATGGTCGGCCCCGTCCGACTATACTGCTCCGCTCACTGGTTTTTTTGATTGAACAAAAAAATAATTCGTATTTTATATGAATATAGTGTAAAAAAACCTTGGGGTTATCTAAATTTCCGAACGATTACTGCTAATTTAAATGTCCATCACATAAAAAGTTAGGGTCAGTCGAACTTATCGATATTTTTATACCCATTACCACACTGTGGTACAGGGTATTATGTCTTTGTGCATATGTTTGTAACAGGGAAAAATAATAGAGATAGACCCATGGTTCCTTTTGAGAATATGCATAGAATCACTTTCTGAGTCGAATTATGTATGTCCGTCTGTCCGTCCGTCCATCCATTTATGATCCGATTTGGTTGAAATTTGGCACAGCTCACATGATTGGCCCAAGGACGACCCCTATTGAAATTGGAGAAAATCGGTTCAGATTTAGATCTAGCTCCCATATATTTTTTCGTCCGATTTACGGTAAATGGTGCACCAATGTCCCACCAATGTCATTCGATTTGCATGAAATTTGGTACAACGAACTGAATTGAGTCTAGAATGATGTGTGTTCCGAGAAAATGGGTTCAGATTTAGATATAGCTCCCATATATATTTTCGTAAGATTTTATGATTTAGATATAGCTCCCATATATATTTTCGTCCGATTTTAAGTAAATAGTGCACCAAAGTCCCTATATATCCTTCGATTTGCACGAAATTTTACATAGTATACTGAAGTGAGTCCGGAACGATGTGTGTTAAATTTCGTGAAAATCTATTTTGAACACTTTAACTTCGTCCATTAATATATTTTCGTCCGATTTAATGTAAATTGTGCACTAAAGACTAAATGTTTGGCCGTCTGCCACACAATGTACAATGTACTGAAGTTATTATAATCTTTCGTGTATCATGTTTTTTTGAAATCGGTTCAGATTTACATACTGCTCCTCTATATACTTTCGTCCGATTTTAGGAAAATGATGCACTTAAGACCCAAAGCTAGGCTGATTGACACAACGTACTGAAATTAATATAAATTAATCTCTGGCAAGTTGCCTTGAAATCGGTTCAGATTTATATATAGCTTAGCTTCCATATATAATTTCGACATATTCGTGTTTATTGTACACCAAATAATAACTGGGTACCGGATTGATATTACATTTTAAACAGTGAAGCATACCAAAGAGCGTGTGTAAAATTTGCTTTAAATCTATTTACAAAATAAGAATAGGTTGCCGAATGACGTGTGTCGGGATTGATGTTAGTGGGTTTACTTATAGATAAAGATCATGTCAATGTTCCTTCCTTCAATTTCATGTCAATGTTCCTTCGAATATACCCAAAGTGGCGAAGGGTATCATATAGTCGGCCCAGTCCGACTATACTACTCTCCATACTGGTTTTACTTTATTTTGGTTCAGATTTTCCATGACTAGTTGCAAGGGCCTTTAAGAAGTGAGTATATATATATATATATATATATCATATAAAGAAAGACCCCATCGATTTTTGGTATTTTGAAGGTTTTAGCTGCGAAGTGGCTGTAATTTGGCATTCTCGATTCCTGCTAGTTTTCAACGATTTACCCCCGATATTTTTAATAAATTCTGAATTCACACCACATGCTACAAGGTATAAGAAGTTAGAATCTAACTTTTTTTCTTATTGTCCGGTAAAAAACTTTGGAAAATAGTAGATGTCGTGAAAAAATTACACATGTTGTTCATATTTCCCTTTGGGTCTTTAACAAACAGTTTATTTTTCTCCATGACAGATTTTATGAACGGTTCTGCTGACCATACAGAAAAACTTGTTTCCCTTATGACATCGTGACAAACGTTTGCGGTTTATGATATTTAATGAGGCGTAGTCCAAGTCCAAAAAAATATATAACCTAAGATATGTCGTTACATTCTTTTCATGGCCATCGATGTCAATAACAACAAATTTAAAGTCAAACACAAATTTCCACATGCAAGCATACAAACAAACACATATGGTTCAAGATCACTTCCATTCTTTGCAATTGAATTTTATTTTTCAGGCAAATGTGTTTAACATAGAAGACTTCGAAAAAAAAAACAACAACAACAAACCCCAAATGTGGAATATAGGGAATGGTGAACAGCAACAACAAACTGAAATGTTTGGCTGTGGCTAAAACTTCATAGCACAGTTAACAAAATGTTGCATAATTGTATTTGTATGGTGGCTGGAGTCTATGTAACCAGTTAGTTAACCAAGCCAACCAGGCAGCCAGCCAGTCATCCAGCCGTCCCTAACTTAATCCATTCACTTACTCTGTCAGCTAAGCACTGCAAAAAACACACACACAACTGGGCTACCATGGTTCATGTGTTTATGCTTGCCTCCGAAAAAAAAAACAAAAACCGAAATATTACGGACGACTTAATACAAGTGCCTGACTGACTGACTGACAAAAATTACCGGTGGCCTAACCAACTGACTGAGCGGTTAGTTAGTCTGTCATTTTTGTGGGTTTTAAAACATTGATAATCACATTACAATGCAATCCTCCATCTGCCACTGCTGGTGGTAAATATTTGGGTCAGGGTTAACACCGAACATTGTCCCGATGACATACTGTGGCACTCTGGCACAATCTGCAGAGGCAAACTCCACCCGCCCGACCAACCACCATCAATTGCCAGATAATTGGCAGTGGTTTTGTGTCACCAATGTGCTGTGCACAAAAATTGATGTTCGCTGACAGATGACGGGTTGGCGAAACAAAGCAAAAAGCGCTATGGAGGACACGAACATGAAATCGTAACAAAGAGGTCTGGTAAGGCCTATATTTGTTGTTCGCTTTAAAAGCCAATTTCCATGAAGTCGTTGCATTAGCTAAGCCAATTAAATTTCTTTAGGGAAATTCACACTTGCAGGCTTTCAGTCAAACAGCCAGTCAGTAAGTCATTCATTCATGTGATCCACATAACATAGGAAATATTTTGAAATACAACTTTCTTTCGGAATTAGTTTACGAATTACAACAAGTTGTATGTGAACAACCTGCTTTCCATGGGAAAAATTTGTTCTTACGTTACATGGCGTTTCAAAGCAATGTGCCATGTTACGTCTTACATTTATACATAGCTGTCTTCCTGGTGTAAGTGTAACAGCTCAAACCCTTAGATTAACCTATGTCATAGCCGAAAGGTAAGAGTAGCTTAGAGTGAAATGAGGAAATATTTTAAAGGCTTCACATAAGGCACAGTAACATGTGTTTGTATAAAAAAAATTTGTAAGGCTTATTTAGTTTTTAGGAGATTGGTATTATTCCATATATAATATTCGCCTATGTGGTCCTCTATCTATAGAATATAAGGTACTTCGAAAATAATGAATATCCTCAAAAGGATTTTATTTTACAGAGATAAGCAATTTTGAATTCATTATCAATCCAAGAGGGAGAGTCAAATGCAAATTCACACACTATAACAACTCCAATCGATTTACAGTCGGTGAAATTCAAATCTCATATAAATTATATTTAATAGGATAATACCTATCCTGTTAAATATAATTTATATAGTTCCAAGTTGGTGTTAAATTGTAAATAAAGTACAAGTCGTATGTATGATCCGAATTGGATGAAATTGGACACAGCTCATTTATTTGGCCCAAGGACGAATCCTTTTGGGAAAATCGATTCAAATTTAGATATAGCTCCCATATATATTTTGGTCCGATTTAATGTAAATGGTGCCCCAAAGTCCCTATATATTTTTCCATTTGCACGAAATTTCACATAGCGTACTGAATTGAGTCTGAAGTTATGTCTACCAAATTTAGTGAAAATCGGTTCAGATTTGGGTATAGCTCCCATATATTTGGTCCGATTTAATGTAAATGGTGCCCCAAAGTCCCTATATATTTTTCTATTTGCACGAAATTTCGCATAGTGCACTGAATTGAGTCTGGAGTCATGTCTGCCAAGTTTCGTGAAAATCGGTTCAGATTTGGATATAGCTCCCATATATATTTTCGTCCGATTTAATGTAAATGGTACATTAAATACCCTATATATATTTCGATTTGCACGAAATTTAGCATAGCGTACTGACTTGAGTCTCGAATTATGTGTGCTGAGTTTTGTGAATATCGGTTCAGATTTAAATATTGCTCCCATATATATTTTTTCGTCCGATTTATGGTAATTGGTGTACCAAAGCCACTGTATATCTTTCGATTTGCAGGAAATTTTCCACAACGTACTGAATTGGGTCTGGAGGCATGTGTGCCAAGTTTCGTGAAAATCCGTTGAGATTTATATATAGCTCCGTTCAGATTTAGATATGGCTCCCATATATATTTTCGTCCGATGTTATGTATATGGTGCACCAAAGCCCCGACTTTACTACTTTCCTTACTGGTTTCAAAAAAAAATCGTATGCTGGGCAAGGCGGGGTTTACAAGTTGGAGCTTTGACCAAATTATATTAATTGGAAAAAGTACTTATAAATATTGAAAGGACTTT